GATTATTTTTTTTCTCTGTATTATTAAGATAACAGAGTTAAAAAATAAAAAATTAAGAAATAATTTATATTCAATTTTTTTTTATTTTATTTTATTTATTTTTTTTTTTAATCTAAAGAAGGATTTATTTCAAAATTCATTCTAATAGAGATAGTTTGATAGAAATTTATTTCTAGAATACATAATACTCGCACCAACTTAATATTCTCTTTAAATAATTTGTTTTAAAAATGTTATAATAGTAATATTTAAAATAATGAAATTTCAAAATCTAGTATATGAAGAATATCATCGTGTCATAAAATTACTGTTTTAATATTATATTATTCCAATATCCAAACAATTTATAAATATATATGAATATGAATACGTTCTGTAAAAATAGTTAATCTCGCGTTATTTAAAGTTCAATAGATTGAAAATTTATTATAATATATAAAAATAAAAAATTTGGTGTAAATATTTAACACCGTATTTAAAATACTCGAATCCGTTGTCAAATTTGATAAATTACTTTTTGTCTCAAAGTTCATCCTTTGTGGTTGTTAAGTTTTTTTTTTCGCACTTTAAATAGGGAAACAAGTTTTGCTCATATTTTCTGGGGACTAAAATAAAATTTTCAAGGATTACAAGACTTCTATCATCGGCTTCCGTCATCATTTTTATTTAAATCTTACTTTTTACATGCTTATTGAGTGTTTAAAATCCAAAGTATTTCAAAAGGAATAATGTATTCTATATTATATTATAAAATTCACTTTATACTTTAAAATAATAAAAGCATTAACTGTTAAAAGAATTTCATATTTTTAATAGAATACAATCTATTTACAAATTGTGAATCTTTTATTTATATGAGAAATTAAGATTTATAGGCTAAATCAGCATAATTATTTATTAACCAATAGGACTGGTTTCCTATTAAATCACTAACAAATAGAATGTGCCAATTTATTTGTAAATACAATGTAATGGTAAATACAAGTATTCTGTTTTTTAATATTTTCATCCTGGTTATTAAATTTATAAATGAAGATTGTGTATCGTTTCTAAATTGAAATCTCTATACATATTTCAAAGTCGGAACTTAACAAAATGAATATACTTATTATACTATAAATATAATGGATATCAAGTGAGAATATTACAAACAATAAGTAATTAAACATGAAACGAATCACAGCTTGATAATAAGATTCGTGAATACGAGTTTTTATCATTTTGTAGCAATTCACTATCGAATACGAGTAATTGTTATGTCAATTTTTTTTTTTGTATCACAAACAAATTAAAATATATTTTTTAAAGTAAAAAAGCATTGAATTTTCTTATTATTTTTTTATTACATTATATTACATAAAATCAATGTGGATATATATTTGCTTCAATAAAGATAATTAATTGTCAGATCTTTTGTAATTTATATTACACCTATTTTAATAACAAATATGTATAAGAAAAATGAACAAGTATCGATATTCTTTACATGTTGTATTACCGAAATACCAATTAACCGTAATATTTGTTAAGATATCCAAATCGTTAATTACTATTGGTATAGTGACAATTCATTAATTATTAGAATATTGGCAATTCTATGACAAAACTGTCAAAACTTCAAAATTGATAACAATGTGAAATTTAAAATGTTCAAACTCATATGCTAAAATACAGTTGATAATAACATTTTCCGGTTTCATATTATTGTTTCATATACGTATCTATTCACATAATAATCAAGTATCTTCTTCGTCTTTTTGCTTCTGTAAGTGTCGTATTTCAAGTAAAAGTGTCATATCGTCACAATGATTTAACATCGTATTTATTTTTTATAATAAAAATAGTCATTTTTCCCCCGATATCACCGAGATGTCTCATGTATCTACCATTCTTTGGACAATTTATATAAGAAGACAACGTATTCTCTTATTAGATTCAATCACAGCCACGGCGGCAGCGTCTGCTTAATAAAATCACCTGCTAATGACTTAATAAGAATAATAAAGTTAGTATTGCACCACAAACAACATTTACTTGAGCTCGAACATACTCATATTCGAAAGCGCAATTATTTTGCCGCTGATCGTGAAGATGAGCGTCTACGTCATTTAGAGCAAGTACTAATGGAGTATTCAGATCGAGTTACTCAAATTACTCTTTGTATTTAAAAGTTCTCAAAGGATGCCATCGGTTACGGCATAATCTGGCCAAAGTTAAAGATCAAGTTTGGGGCCACAGGAACTCATTGCCTTCTTGGCATTATATAATATTTACAAGCGAGTTTCGTTTCGACAACACGAATGGTTCGAGTTTCTCCTCGTCATAGCGACAAATATATTCGTAAATTATATATTCGAGTTTTTTTTTTTCTCCCCTCCCCAAACCTCATAGTCGTCCTATTATATTCAGTTCCTATATCTTATATCATATCTTAAGTTATGAGTTATATATTATCGTTGCGTAATGCATATGCACATATAAACATAAAATGTATATAATATATATAATATAATGGACTAAATTGATATTACATATTAATACTTATAATAAGAATTAGAAGGAGATTTTCATTACTAATTATTGCTTCATCTACATTTATCGTTAAATTACTTTCAATTAGATTTAAATAACGCAACTTAAAATTGAAATTCCGGACAATTTGGAAATGTAAAATTTACGTCAAAAAAAAAAAAAAGTTTCGATATTTTTAATAAAAGTTATGAAACTAAAGATTTAATAAAGTAAACCTACCTTCAATTACCATTTATTCGAATAAATTTTCACGTACTGTCTACACGTCGGCTTTAAGAATGCTTTATTTAAATAAAGAATAAGTCTGATAAATTTTTTCCAATAATATTATGGCAGTTAAATATATATTTTTGTTATAGAAACAATTACTATATCATTTAATATTAAGAGTCATAATATAAATATTTTTAAAAAATCTAAATTCTTTCGTTTCGTCGTTATATGCATTATATACATAAATAGGATATTACCGTTAATTCATTTTTTTGAAAACTTTGCTTTATACGAATATGCGGCAGTAATTTTTTAAAAAGAATTTTATGAGAGTGAGCCGTTAACGTGACAAAAGGCTTACACAATCATCTCCACGATTTATCTCGTCAAAGTAGCAGCAGCTTTGACCAATACATACAATCTATAATTTACATGTAATAATTGTAAAATTATAGTTTTCTTATATTGTAAATTGTAGATACGATTAGTACTGAATTAGTAATGGAAAAATAAAAAAAATAAAATAAACATGAAATGCATTCAACGTACTGTATATAAGTACTTAAATACACTTATTTTATGACGAATCAAGAAAATTTATTTAAAAGGGAAAAGCCTGTTAATAAATCAATAGTATTAGTATATAATATGCGCGTCAATATTTCACATTCATTTAATGTTTTAAAAGTTTTTAATGTTCAATTAAAATACAGAGATTAAACTTTAATTAATTATTAATAAAATAACTTTTTTATTTTGTATTAAACGAGTGCTTTTATTCGGATATATAATGTATAATACATTTAAATAATTTTTCTGACGACCTCCTAATTAAAATGTATAAAATATTTTTAAAAACCCTTTACAATTAATTGGACTGAACAGTTTAAATGATTTTCATTTGCAAAATCAATTAGTCCTATCAACAAAAAATCATAACATAAAACAAAAAACTATAATAGTTTTTGTTGCATTCACGTAACATTCGTGCATTTATGAACAATCTTTATTGTAAAACATTTACAATTTATACATAGGAGCAGCAATCTTTTGTATCGCAATGGAATAGTCCACTGTAATAGAAATTCATTCCTAAAACTTGCAAACAAGTGTGAGTATCGGATTACCAGGATATGTCTTGCAGAAATATTCCCAAACTCCAATCTTTGGAAGATTTATCCCATATATTTAGTTTATTTAAAAGTTGAACTACTAATACTTTCAATGAAAAATTTGAGAACATTTTGTTTTTTAGTAGTTTTATCCTCTTATATCCTTTCTCCTGTCAATATTTAAGATTTATTATTTTGGTTGCTACCAAGTATTGGTAGTCTATGGTAAACTCATATTTTTCCAACTTCTACAAGAAAATTGACTATCGTCTGAACTAAAATTCTTGTAACAATCTTCAGATATGAGTCAAAAGTTGCATTAGTTAAATATCGTCAACAATCCACTAGTTACAATTAAAATTTTTATTATCCAATATTTAAGAGCAACGAATGTGAGGAATAAAGATTTATTCGTATCAATACCAAGCTGTTGATAAACTAAACTTTTACCAATGGACAAATTAATATTGTTTTGTACTTCCATTGTTTTGAATTATAAATTATTTAAATATAAGAATTAACAATTTGTAAAATTGCATTACGCTTATATTCTTTATATATATATATATATATATACATATATAATTTAATTTTTTAATGTTTAATAGCATACAAAATTATGATGATGTTAGGTTGATTGAATCATCTGTAAGCAATATTTGTTTGAAAGTTAAATAGACGTTTAATATGCATTAAAAAAAAGTTATATATGAAATGTCTAGTATCAATTACATATAATATTGTATAACATTTCTTTTACAACATTTACATACCTTCTACGCATACATGCATGCACATATATAGATATACTGATTGATAAAGACTTAATTACTTATATGTAAATTAACAAATGAACTCTTTATCTGTTATTAAAGAAATAAATAATTAAATTGTTAAATCTATAATAACCTCAAATTTAAGTATCATAGCAATTACATATTATTTCTCGACTGCTCTTTTGTTTAGTAATGGCTATCCCAATAACTTTGTTTAATATCGTAATTGAAAATAAAATAATATAATATATATATATATATATATATATATATATATATATATATATATATATATATATAATATTCAATTAAACGTAGACTTAAAAAATTAAATAATTTTAATTGCAAGAAGACAAGGTTGGCTACACTGTCGCTAACAGCTGGTTGCGAAAAGTCGAAACTTCTGCTTTCACTATTCACATTAATACAAAATTATTGACAGCGATGATTAACATTTCTTGATTTCATTAAACTATAATATTAAATTAGTTTTTAACGGTTGCCGAAAAATTATCTTGCTGCAGGTGTGAGTGATTGTAAAATTATCACTAATGATTCATAAAGTAATACAAAGAAAAGCTGAGATTTTCCCTATCGTTGCAAATGTAAGTTATGACTATGACATTGAACACCTCAATTTTTGGTATTAGTAACATTTTATAATAATAATAATAACAATAAATTACTAAATACGAACAATATATGCCCATAATAGTACTAAGATAATCATGGATAAAATTACAATTCAAATTGTAAATATAATTTATTTTAGGTTTTAATTAATTCTGTTGAATTCATTGATTAATTAATGAATCTATGGGTTAATAATTGGTTAAAATAATTGTGCGATATCCTGAAGAAAAAAAAAGCTTATATAATAATAATAAATAAAATTTAATGCAATTATTGATTCAATATTTATTCACTTGCTAGTGGTTCAATTCACAAAGACAAGTCAGTACCAAATTATTAACTCAATTGACGCCAGGAGCAATTATCAATAATCAAGCGAAAGTATCATGTATAAAACGACTGAAATGTATAAACCAAAATGACAAAACGGAAGAGAGTTCAAATAAAGCAGCGGTTCTGGTACCTTTGTGTATACATAATGGAAAATTGGGTTTATTATATACATTGCGATCGCATAAAGTGAGTATGAATCGTGGACAGGTGTCATTTCCAGGTGGCATGAAAGATTCGAATGATGCAAGTTTGGAAGACACAGCTTTGAGGGAAACTTGGGAAGAGTTACAAATATCTAAGGATATTATTGATGTTTGGGGTACAGCAAACTTAATTAAAAGGAAACATGTAACTGTTTTACCCGTATTAGGTTACATTGGTGAAATTGATCCTAAAAGTCTTCAAATTAATAAAAATGAAGTAGAGGAAGCATTTGTTCAGCCATTAGAAAAATTATGCGACCCCAAATTATGTCGATATACCTCTTTTAAAAACAGTTATGTCTTACCACTATATCTAGGAGCAAATTATAAAATCTGGGGATTAACCGCAGTAATTACACACATAGTTATGAATGCGCTTGTACCAGATGTGTATAAGAATAAACTTCCACTTATGCAATTTGTAGATGATACTAAAGCAAGTTCCACCACTACTATCAAGATATCTTGATCTATGTAAAAAATTATTAAAATATTTAAATTTTATGTTAATAAGTTAATATAACAATGTTTATTCTTTCAATTTATTTAATAAGAATCAAATATATATATATATATATATATATATATATATATATATTTCTAAACAATTTTGTACAAACTTGTATTTATCCAAAAATGTACAATGTATATAAAATATTATACTTTGTATATCGACATTTAAAGTTTCGTAATATTTAACATTTTTACATAAACTCTTGTGAATAAATAAAATATTAGAGTTAGTTGTCTAAAAGAAAATATTGCCATTTCCAAATTATAAGTTAATTAAATAAATAGTTTTCCAAATATTGGAACAAGTATTATTAAGTCGGATTAACCGGATCCATCACAATTGCAGTAGTTCTTGAGCTCTAAGTCTTGCATCTCATATAACATTTTCTGAAATACAGTGGTTTAGTAGAAAATAATATTTTTATTATACAGTGAATACTGTAGGAAAATTGTTACTAATCGTCTCTAACTACAATAAATTATATTGGCACTTTTGTAACTCATACATGACAATAGTTTCAAATTCATTTTGTGAATATATTTTGCAATAGTTGCAACTTCATTTTGTAGATATATTTGGCAATTGTTTCATAGTAATAAATTAATTTATTAACAATTTTCGGGTAATGGACCAAATAGATGAACAGCTGGGCCTTTATCGGTTGGATCTCCAAGGAACGCAGCATAAAGTTCTTGATAGCGTGATAATGTTAATCCTCCGCGTCTCTTATCATCATCCTGTACGAAAAATATTTAAGAATTATTTATTTGAGGACAATGGAATAATGAAATGAGGGCTGATATCGGTCATTGATATTCACGTTGAGTAAATTTTGATAAGCCTGATCGATGGTATCAATATTAGCAATCGGAATTCTTGTGATTGAATTATATCGGTATTCCTCAACTCCTATTAATCCATCACCTGAAAATTATGGAAAAAATGAATTGAACAGACATATACCGTTTTATCCTAATTCATTTAAAACTCGTTCAAACAAGAGTTAGGAGAAAAAATTTGTTATACGAATTGATCAGAGTGTACAGGTACTTTTTAAAAACAAAAACCTATAAACATGACTTTTGCGATTAAAAAAATAATCATTTAGTATTAGTCATCATATTATACGTTTTTATATTTATTTTTAATTTATAAATATTAGTTTATAAATATATTAATAAATATAGTGCAATGCAATATGCTGTTATAGTAGAATATTTAAATCTCATAATTTTCTTATAATCTTATCTTTCAATTAACTAGATGAAATATTATATCTAAAAATGAATATTTTAGCATAAATGAAATAATGTATACAAAAAATTGTACAATCAAATTATATTTTGTTCAATGTATACTTTTAATCGATAACGAGGTATATAAAGAAATCTTGTTAAATTATTGTAAATTATACAATATCTTAAAATAGCTCACAATATATTAATAAAATATATCAAATACAATTTTAATAAAATTTAATAATTTTTATATAAGGATTTAATTAGGATTCAATTAGGAACTATCGTGTAAATCTTATCAATTAATTAACAATCTTTCAATATGACAAAACTGATATTATTTTATTATTTATTGATATTAGCATTTAATAATAATAATAATAAAAAAAAAAGAAGAAAAAAAAAAGTTACACTTACGATTTAGTTTCTAAATATTATGATATGAAATTAATAATTTTTATTAGGCCACAAGTTCGATATTAAGCTTAGAAAAATATTTATGGTAATAAACTAATTTGATCAATTCGTTAAAGAATCGAAAAATTATGTTTACGACAGAAAAGGTAGAGATCTTATGAGGACGTCGGTTGAGCAAAAAATGTGCTTCTAAAATTTATATTCCATGCGATTGTTATCTTACCGTTCAAGTCCACAATTTTAAAATGATTATCAATAAACATTTTCATTGCCTGAGGAAATTCGGCATAAGATTTACCGATGCAGCATTTCTGAACGGCGTCTTTAAATTCCTCAGTTGTTACAACGCCGTCCTAATGTTCAATTTAAACAACAAAACATAACGATTCATTATTATTATTATAAGTTTGGTAGAGAAAAATTAATTTAATCGAAAGCAACCAATAAAGAAATTATACAGCAAATTGTTCTGCGTACTTTATTAAAATCGGCTATCTGAGCTATTTCATCCCACAGCGATAGCATAACGTGAAGATTTTCTTGATGGCGATTGGAATTGAAAAGTCCTTTACCCTCGAGTATCGTCATTTTCAAGGCCATGCACTCGAAATCATTTTGCTCCAATATCCCGTTGCTATCCGTATCTATGCGGGTGAAAATAATATAATAAAGTGTAATAAAAGCACTGAAAGCACCGAGAGTTAGAGATATTAAACGAACACTAAATACTTTACGAAAATAGTATAAGATTATTTTATAACAACGAAATTTGCATAAAAATAGTAGTTCTCTTATTGTTTTCTATGTGTACTTTCTTCTTCTAATGGATGAATGCCAAATTATTTAATAGATTTTTTATTGATTGCGACTTTGCAATAATAATAGCATACCAATTGATATATATATATATATATATATATATATATGTTTATATGTGTGCGCACGCATTTGGACGTGTGTTTATGCGACTAACGAACGCGCGCACACACTTACCAAGTAAATTTATATTGAATATTTATAGTACTTTTATATCTCCTCGAAGTTTCTCTCACCCATAACTGTGATATTTTGTGAAACGGGAAATGTTTCCATTATTCTAGAGTTTCTAGCCTAATAATTTTTTCCCTTCAAGTAATATTGTGACGCGTGCTTGTCAGACTGTGGATATTTAATTGCAAAAATTTGTAAGTAGAAGCATGAACAAAATGTATGTTTTTTTTTAGATTTTAGACAATTACACGTAGCTTATTACACTTGGAAATTGAGTCATCGTTACTGTAAAGATTCCTCTTTTACTTTTATTGTTATTTTTCAAATGTATAAACAATCAACTGTGAGAGTTTGCAGAGACTTTAATGTAAATAGCAAGATCAGGGTTTAGTTATCAAAGAACATTAAATGAAAAATCGTACTCCCACTTTCCATATACCCGAAGATATATTTTACGAATTAAATGCAAACGTCAATGTCTGCCATTGGAATTGCTTCGGACTGTCAATGGCCACTAGCTGTTGGTCATATAATCGCCTATTTAAAGCGGAGTTGCCGGTATTTCTTAATTGATGGTAAATTCGGAGTTGGATAAGCCTTGCAGGTTAACGCGAGTGGTGGTTTCCTTGAGGCGGGCGTCTGCTTAATTGTCCGAGTTCTCTTGGATTCCGTTGAAGAAAAAGGTGCGAGTGCATTTGAGAATAATGACTTTGTCATCCCGTGCAATGCTGCTAAATAAAATCTAATGATCCACGGACAGATACATTATGCAGCCGCTTTGCTTCACGAAGGGAATCCATTACGTCGTCGAGCCGCGTCCGTCATAACGCAATGACACGCGTCCGCTCTCAACCACAATTTATATTCAGTATATATTGAATCAGCCTTGCCCATGTTCTGTCAAACATGAGTTAGGAATGTGCATTGTTTGCGACGTACACGGCCGCGTTACCCATTTTGTAAAGGCATGTATCTCGGCATTTTGGCATGATAGACGATCGGTCTTGAAAGGGTAGTAAACCGTTACGCCCTATAATTACGACATCCTAATTTTGGACAGCAGCGGCCTCAGCATCTCTTCTCCTCTCTCTCCTCCCCCCCCCCCCCCCCCCCCACCTTCCGCCCCTTTTTCCCACCGACCCTCTATAATGGCTCTTTTGCTTCGGGAGCCTCTCCCTCTAGCCTTTTCCTTTATCTAATTTTACGCCCACGCGACCTTATGAGTTTTGCGTGAAAATTAGCCGTACTATTGCTAGTTGGCACCGGACGCCAATCGCTAGAAATGTTGTACCTCATCGGAGGCGGGTCGATCATTGTCAGCCGTAATCCTTATTCGATCACTTAGCCACGTTTCTGTGTATTTTCATTCGATTCCTTCCAATCCAGCCAGCAATAGCATTTTCAAACCGATAATCGATTATCCCTATTAGTAATTTTACTTATTTTGATTTATTTTGTTAGTAATAATATAACAATGTAGATAATGTAGTCTTTGTATGTGGTGGGCTGGCGCTCGTGCGATCTAGCTACATTCGTTATTTTTGTAATTAATTTGTCATTGTCCAAAGTTTAAACGATATATCACGTAATGTTGGCACACTTATTAAATTATAAATTATCATTTCAATTAATAAATGAGATAGGGAGTTTTTTTAGCAATATGTATTTTAAAAACGTGTATTGGTAGAGTCTGCGAGTAAAATCAAATTGTAATTGTATGGAAAATTCTATAAGATTTGCTCGTTTTGGCATTATATTTTTCTTTCTCTTGAATTCCTTCCTAAGATAATCGTTTCCGAGTAACATAAAATTGAGTCTGCATCTAGCATGAGTGTACAATCATTTTACTTCGAATAGCTCTCGGCTGTTTCTAATTAACTTAATAGACAAAAGATTTACTTAATAATGACAGCACTTAATGTAACGGTAATTTGTCCATTGTCATTAGCACAAAGACACCTGCATCCTATTTGTTTCATTTAAGATGACTTTGTCATACCGGTAATCAATACCCTCATTTCTTAATCTAAATTTCATTGAAAATCTATATATATATATATATATATATTGTGTTAATTAGTTTTAATTACCGTAAAGATACTTGACGACAAAGTTGCAGCGATTGTCCCAGCTATAAGCCATCTTAACGATGATTTACTAATCCGAGCTTTGTTTTATCGACACAATACAAAGCTGATCGCTAAAATAAAATTAATTAAATCGAGCTTATTAATATGTTCTTTAATAATGTCTATTCGATTAGTATTGTTCATTCGATGAATGAATACCAAAAGAAAAAAAAAAAAATTACTCAAATACACAAATCGAATTAAAAAAAGAAACGGAATATATAAAGAAAGTTCATAAATCCTCGTTCCGTATTATATAGAATACACTGCGATGTCATAAATATTTTTTTCTTCTTATATTTTATATTATCTTCTTGTAATTCAACGATTCGTTATAATGAAATGTATCGCTTATATTTGCCTGTTTCGAAAAGCCTTGGTATGCACGAGCTCAATACAATAATAATACAATGACTTACAAATTTTATTCGTCAATTAATTAAATAATGCAATAATCATAGTGATCGAATAACTGCAGCGAGTTGCGAGCGACCTAAAGCGTAAAAATAAATTGAATTCCCACTGTAAATGAATCATTTTGAGAGGCCGATGTTCCGTAAGGTGATTTTGACACTAATTTGGATGCGCTACGTTATTTACGAATGCTTCTCATTTGGTGTCGTGTAATTTAATGCCATTTGCCGATTCAAATAATTGCGGCCGAACGACAATACGTTGCATTAAAGCGTTAACGCATATTGTAGTCCCCCTCGAACCATTTGCTCAAAGATTTTCCGTACGTATAACGATATTCCCAGTTCGCAAACGATGGCTTTCAACGAGCGCGTCAACGCGCACGTGGATCCAACGGTTGACAACCCCCTCCCCCATCCCACCCCACCCCACTCCACCCCACCCCACCCACCCGCCAAACCCATATTCGACTACTAGTAAGGACGCTTAGGTCAATCGAAAGGGAGAATCGGGAGAGGAGCGACGTGCAAGAGTCGAGCGTAGTCACATAATTCCACAGGCTTATTATGATGGTTAAATGCAACATTTGAGCCGATTCGCCGCACTTACCACCCCCGGATGCGGCATGTGACATTATGGGATGGGTATGGAGCGCATGCACGCGTAGGGGAAGAGTCGCGAGGAGGAGGGAGTACGAGCATCGCGGTTGTGCGGTGAGGATAGCGACGGCGGCGTTGGCGATCCGTGGACACGAGTTCTTAAATGACGGCGACGTTCGCTCGTATGATCGGGGGTGAGCGTAAGTGAGATTAATCATGATAGAACCTCCTTGAGGAGCACAAGCACGGTCGTTCACTGGGACTGACGAATGGGTCTCTCGAGGGGAGACTCGCGGGCCCGTCGCGCTCGAAAGATGGCTTTGTACTGAGGGAGGAGTGCGTCGGCTCCCGGCCCGCGGTGGTCGACTCGCGGAAAAGACGGGGGCTAAGTTTAGATTTCGAAGATCACGGTGCGAGTGCAGTCTGGCTCTCCCTGTCCCGTCTCTCTCTCTCTCTCTCTCTCCCTGACGTCGTGCTGCCGCCACTCGTCGCGCTTCAAGTGGCCGCTATTGCCTTCGGAATGGTGCACCCGCGTTACGATGGGCTTTGGGACGTCCTTGAGAAAGTCCTTGCTGCGACGTAGCCCAGTGGATGATGTCGGATCGGAGCAGCCCGCCGTTGCTAAAGGATTTTGCGCGTGGCGCTTACATAGCCACCGCCGAGCGGCTCTTATTATTATTTTTTTTTATCCTATTAACTTTATATTATTTTTATTGCGCGTGTGGCTGTCGGGTATTTTCACCGTCGCAAGGTCCGGCGTATTTTTTTCGCTCGTTCGGTCGCTTTGTTTTTCGTTATGATTTTTGTGATCGTGAGCTGCGGGCGCATTCGTCGTCGATTGTCTATAAAGCTACGACACTTCGTGTGCTTAAATCCTTCAACCTACGCCCCTTTTGCGCACTGCCGTTTAAACTTAGAGATTAATAGCACGGTCGCCCGCCATGAAAATTCAAATCTCACAACGAGCTCGCTCGGGCATTTTAATTCATTGGATTAGGTGCGTTGGTGCGGTGACGTTGGTCGTAGCGTGACATTGAATTGTAAAGAGCCGAAGGTCGATTGTCGAGTCGATAGCTGCATTCGTGGCTAATTATCCGCTCGCCGCATTGTCTGACTTTAGCGTCAGTTTAGCGTTTTAACATTGCAATTATAATCGATCGATCGGCACAACCCATATCACCTTTTTTTGGTCATTTTAAATTAACGTTAGATGTTGCGATGTTTGCCGGGCAATGATGATTACTTATCGAATACGATCGAATGTTCCGTTACGGATTAGCGTTAGGCCTTGCAGACTTTCGCATATCACTTTATACGAACAGCATTATGATGGATTTTGCTGGAAATGCCAGTCGATAAGAGCGAGAGTCCAAGAGCGATTGTCAAACAAAGCGGTCGTGTCTCGAATAAAATTATTCATGTGTATTTATAGCGATTAAAAGTAACATATGCTTATAGTTGAATGTTATTATAATTTGTCATCCCTTTCAACCCCGTAGAATAAATGTATTAATCCTTTGCATAAAAATAGTCAAAATAAATGAATAGTGCTTTTAGATATGACATTATAGTTGAAGGATGAAGAAAGTAAAAAAAAAAAAAAAAATGTTTAATCGTATTAACGGGTTTACTTCGAATAATATACGATTTTAACAGTTATCTATTTCTTATGGGTTGCATATAAATATCGCACTCGATTTAATTAATCCATTCGAAATGCCGTATGAGCGCGAGCCTTAAAAAATTTAGTAGAATTATTGAGCGTCAAAGGTTGAAGGTAAAACATTTGAAGTACGCTATAAAAAGATTGAAGAAAAAGTGTAAAAAGTATTATGTATAAATTGTAGGATTACATAGTACGGTTAGAAAATTAATTTAACGATATGATGTATTTCTTGTAAATAAGACCAAGTTCGATATGCTAATTATTCTCGGAATGTTACCTTTGTTCTAATGCAAAAATACAAGTTATATTGGGCCTAATTACAATGTATTGTACTGAATTCTAATGTAGTCGTTTGAAGGGGGAGAGGGAGTTTATTATAACGAGGGGTGTAGAGTCTATCAAGGGAATAATGAAATTTTCTGAGAATCGGAGGGAATTAAGGGCTGAGAAATTTCAGTTGTATTAATGCTTCTTGGGCTAAATTCTTGCGTAGGGATAATACAAGCGTTCAAGTTTATTACCGATTTTTCGATTCCAGAGATTGGCAATATCATTCTCAAGTGGCTTCTAAATATAATTTTCTTGCTTTTCCATTACACGCTTGGTGAAATATTGAAAAACCAAGGCAAATAATGAATGTAAGCGCTATTATTTTTCTTCACAGACAGTTCGTTTTAACATTACGATTGAAATGCAATTCGTATGATGAAAAACTTGTGAATTCAATTTTCTTTAAATTCTTCCACCCACTTAGAATAACGTACCCTTTTTGTTTTTTTTTCTCTTTCTTTTCTCGCGTTTATTGATAAAAAATGAATTTATACAAAAATATATATGTCAATGATACGGTGCACTCGTCCTTAATGCTATTAGAGCTTCATTCGATAATGATAAAATCCGATATGTTAATATATTATGAAAAAAAAAAAAAAAATTTTATATATATATATATATATATATATATATATATATATATATATATAAACGTAGCCGAATAGAAATAGATTTGACTTTCATGAATAATAGGCTTTTTCTCATTTCTATTGAAATACATGTGCATGAAAAATGATGCTCGATACCGAACCAGCCAAATAGTATTATTATCTACGATACACATACCGAGGCTACTGCTGTTCACAAGTGCACAATACCTATACATACTCTTGTCCTTGGGTATCCATTAGTATGTGAGAAATAGGCACTTTGCACGCACAAGGGAAAATACGAGGAGTCTTTGCTAAATGATACCTGTGTCAAGTTGGGTTGACCGTCGTATTTAACAACGACCGACTATTGGATAAGTATTATTATATAACAGCATTTTCATCTCATAAAGTCGAATATGTTAATGGTGAAATGAAAGGGCAGCCCAGACGGTTGAATATCCTAATTTTGTCTTCTAATGGAAGAATGATCGGATCATCGCTCGGTCAGCTATAACAATGTTAAACTACAATAAGCAACGATAATAATGACTCGGAGCTAAGAGCATAATCGACTAAGGTACAGATTTTCAAAATTGAATGGAAAGTTGCAAAGTTATAGTGCGATTGAAATATTTATTCAGCGATATGAGGATTGTGCGAAGAGATTTTACGAGTCGTTCAAATTCAAATTAAAAACCGGTAAATAACTCACCAGGCAGGAATTAGCTTAACTTTACAATGGCAGAAAACATTAATTACATAATGAACGGTCGATAATTTTCTCTAATCTATGGCAAAGTCCAATAGATACAAGTTAAATGATCAAAATTTCATTTCATTTGAAAGTTTTGCTACTAATGCTGCTGCTATGATCGCTACTATATATGTAATTTCAAAACTATACTCGTCTATTCAACCCACATGATTGGAATATTTTTTCTTTCTTAATTTTTTTTTTTTTTTTTTTTTTTTTTTTTTTTTTTATCAATCACAGCTTTAAACAGCTTTTTCGTGGTTATTCTTGGTCAAAAATATCGCCGACGCGACGCTATAACAAACTACGTAACTCGACTCTACAAACAAAATACAAAAAAAAAAAAAAAAAAACAACAAAAAACCATTTTCAGGATCGCTCTATACATACATATTAATTTAATAAATCATCAGATGAGTCATTTTTGGACTAAATAGAGAGGACTATTTCCGATAGACAGCCTTAACTATCAAAAGCCCTTGCCTAGCGTAATTCTTGCAGTTTTTACGGGGAAAACACGGCTAATTTGTCGACTCTGTGCCTTGCGTTTGCAAATACGTTTGAAAAAAACGCAAGATACACTAGATAAACTACTACCGATAAATCAATACACCCGATAATTAATGAAAAAGAAAAGGAACGAGATAACTAATCGTCCTCTCACAAGGCGAAGGACGCGTCTGCGATTAGCGTTCGAGGCACCAAATTAACGGCATTACCAAGCGCAATTATTCTTTCAAAATAATTTGCATTTGCTCTCTTAGTTGCGCACTTGCATCAAGCCAATGCGGTTTATCTCGAATGTCCGCTCGTTTTCGGCAGCCATCATACGTTACGACAGACTTCTTTTATATTCCAATGTCGCCGAGCTGATGATGTACGGCTTCCTTGAATATCTGTCTCGGGGCGGGGGTGGTGCCGGGGGCGATCCTCGCGTGCCGTAATAAATCTTGGTAGAGCCTCAATTTCCGCATCGATTTGTTTATGTAGCCGGGGTTGCGAAAATCGTGCTCGACATCTGCCACCGGTATCATCACCGCCAGGATGTAAAATGAAAAAGTGTTTGCCGCGGGAGGGAATGGAGGATAGAGACTCGGCTGTCGAGATCGAGGGAACCCCTCCCTTTCTCTCGCCTTCTTTCTTTGGCGGGGCGACCTCGGCGGCTGCCTTTCGGCGCGAGTTTTGCGTTTCGCTAAATTCTAATTCCGATCCCAATTCACCTGGCCACCGTTCAACTCGATACTGGACTCATTCATTGTCTCGGCACGATGAGCCGGTGTTGTATACGCATATCCCAGCATATTGCGCTCGCTAGTTGGCCAACTTGAAAGCAAACAAGGGTATTTTCGTACGGGACGTCGGCGCGTTTGGCGTAGGGGTTGCATTGCACGTGCATATGACGATTTACAGGACGGAAGACGCGAGAGTTGCTTTTCTTGCCGAGGCATTCGTACGGTTCACGGCAGCTCTCTCCTGGTCTCTCCCTTTTCCATTACAACAACAACAACAACAACAACAACAACAACAACTACTACTACTACTACTACTACTACTACTACTACTACTACTACTACTACTACTACTACTACTATTATTATTATTATTATTATTATTGTTATTATCGTCGTCGTCTTTGTCTTTGTTATAATCGAGGAATGCTATGTTGCGAAATGTGTGCGCGCGATGCATTAGAATGCGCTTGAATATTGGATAAAGAAGCAGTGGTATCAAACAATTAATATCTTGTTAAAATGTTAAAAAGAAAAAAAGATTGGCTGTTGAGCGTTGGCAGCCTCGTATTTATTACTTCGGCTGTACAAAACATTACTAATATTTCTTGTCGGGTTCCTTATAATATTTATAGAACAATCAATTACATGGTCAGCGAAACTGCGCTTTAATATTTTACTTGTACAATACTTTGAAAAATATATGAATATATATATATATATATATATATATATATATATATATATGTGTTTTCAAACGTTGTGGCTATTGAATTGAAAATATAAATCAAGATAAGTAAGCCGCTCGCATATAAAAATATTTAACAATAAGGATGACACGGCCATTATGGTAGACAATAAATTTTAATACTTTTATCGATCTTTTGTAATGTGTGCGGTCTTTGGAAATTTTCTAATAAATGTTTATTCGTAGAAGTGTTTTTGTACGTGGTGGCATCGCATTACGACTCTTTTCAGTTATTCTTTTAACGAATACGGCCTAAGATAAAAATTCTAATCTTAGCATCAATGAAGACTATGTTCTACCTCTCGGTAGAGATTTTATTTTTAAATACCATTTATTATTGTTCAGTAATATATGATTTTATGATAAATCGTGTCTTATTTATGGGCGCCGTATCGCCGCATCGATGTTATTACAAAATTTAGAAAAATAGATATCGCAATATACTTCGTTTTACTCGCTACGACACTGTTTAATAAATTCAACTAAATTTCACGATCTTCATCAAACTTTACTACACATCAGTCATTTGTTCTATCTAATTGCTTCTAAGTAATTACTTTATTATAAGCTTCGATAATTATAGAAACTTTTTATTAATTGATATTTAATGCTATTCTTAATTATCAAAAGCCCACCCACGCGAACACCAACACAGAGCACAATGCACAAAAACAGCAAACTATTGGATAATTTTATAACTATTGGATGTATTAAAAAAAAAATATTCATCGTATCAATTTTCTTTTGTTTGCACGGACGAAACGAAACGTCAAAACAAATAATATATACAGTTAGTTGTTTGGTTCTGATCAACGTTAATGACTTTATAAACGATTATAATTAAAAATATGGCTAATAAGTCACCGTTGAACAATCGCTTCCATTATCATCGAGAAGAGAACGAGTTGATGCACGCTGGTCCACCGCTGGATTTATCATTTAAAAATGCTAGCACGTGTGACGGTATAATATTTGCAATTTAATACATAAAAATTAACGAATTAACAGGCCGATATCGATTATTAAAAATATCATCATATTCTCGCACTAATTGTACAGTTTGCCTATTTTGAAAATCATATTTATTTTAAGCCTTAACCATCAATATGAATTCCCATTAATATTTCACGAATTGAAACTCAAAAATAAACTTAATCGGCTCTCATTAAAATTATGCCTACTAACGAGCCTATAAAATAAAGTAAAATAATAAAAAAATGTGCTTAACGTTTTTCAATTTTCTCAAGAGAATTGGTCAATCGTAGCATCCAATCAAATCGCATTAGAAAATTACCAGAGAAGACGGAGAATAATCGCTTCCTTACCAGCTCCATGTGGCTGAGCAACAACAGCCTCACTACGCTCTCAAGGCTCGGCGATCTTGCCAATAAATTTCTCGAGAAGCCCAGCGATCTCCGATGGCTGGATCTAGCCTACAATAAAATATGCGGCGTGGACGAGGACCTTTTGAAATTTCAGAATCTCACCATTCTTTATCTACACGGGAATGAAATATGCGACATCAAGTGCATATTAAAACTGAGAGATTTGAGAAATCTACGAACATTGACTCTCCATGGAAATCCCATTGAGCGAATGCCATCGTACCGGCGATACGTAATAGCCATTTTACCTCAGATTTCAAATCTCGATTTTTCATCGGTCATTGACACAGAAAAGAAAAGGGCTCTTCCAGCAGGATTTTTCAAGACAATATCAAGCTAATTTATGAGTAACAGTGACAAAAAACAAAGCAAAAACTGAGGAAAAAAAAACAATAAACAACGAACTCCTTTGTATTTATTAATGAATTATTTTTATTGTATTTCTTTCAAAATTTTGTGATACACAAAATCGGCTCTATCTTACTCGCTTATTTTACACTTTATACTATGATTAAATTGTTAACACGACCGTTAACTGAGTTCTTATAAAAAATTAATTATGTCGCAATAGGCTTATATGTGATGAATTAGTGGTCTCGGTTTTTTCTTTTCATTTCACTTTTTTTCTTTCTTTTCGGAATAAAGAACAAAAAAATACAATATTTACAAGTATTTTTGCAAAATTTTCAACGACACGAACAAGTATCCAGTGAATATAATTACAATGTAAGTATTATATAAAACATCCCAAAAAGATTGATTTTTAATGACGCCGATGCTTACTACGATGTTTATTTGATTTTTCGGGATCTCGTTCCCTCGATCGGCTTCTCGATCTATAACGAGTCCTCGATGTCTTGTGACTTCCGGATCGCCGTCGCTGTGTTTTCTTTAGTTTCCGCGTTCTACTATGACTACGTGATCTACTTCTGCTGCGCTTTTTCCTCTTGGAATGTTTCAAGATATCCACCCTTGCTGGTGATAATGAAGTTGATTTCGATCGTCTAAAAACAAGAAATAAATTTGCTCTTATAATTACTAATAGCTTTAAAATATGCTTCGCTTAAGACGATTGGATCTGCTAAATTATTCGCGATATAGAGCAAAATTTTTGTCTTATTCTCAAAATAATGTCAAATACAAAAAAAAAAAAAAAAAAAAAAAAAAAAAAAAAATCGTTACCACTCATGATTACTAGTTTATTAAGTTTTTTTTTTTTTAAACAATAAAATTCTCTTCCTATTACGATGACTCGACGAAGAAGAGATTACACCGGTAACATTAATAAATTTTAACGCATAAAAGATTACGAATTTAAAAAAAAAATTAAACAACCACCTTTATTCCCTATATTGTTTATAATATTTCTTAAACTTTTTAGAAAAAATATTAAAATGAGAAATTAATTGATATTTGATATCTATTACTGAATATTGCATTCGAAACATCGACATTATCTTTCTAGTTTCGTAATAATTCAGAATATGCATAACATTAATTGAAATTATTAGATTATATTAAGTATAACTATTAGTTGTTTAAGATGATGTAAATGTTTTTTTTTTTTTTTTTTTTTGGTTTTATATATATATATATATATATATTAGATACAAGAACGAATCAAGTATTTAATTATTAAATTAGTTAAATTAGGGTAAATAAAGATGCTTTGTAAAGGAATTAAATTTATTACTTGGGAGATTTGACTCTTTCGGGTACGGCATGCGTGCCGCTTTTGCTGATAAATCCACCCCAAGCGTTATATTGCTTAGGTAGTGGAGGACTCGGTGTATGCCCATCCACTTCTCCAGATCTCGCTTTTATTCGCGCTTCCTCATACTGCTTCCTGAGTTCCTCAACTCGTTTTTCTAGCTGTTCAGGTTTTACCCTGGATCTGCTATAGAGCCTTAGGATGCGCCTGCAGATATCCCTGATGGAAGCCTCGGTTACTTTGAATAACGAAAACCATGATGGCGAAGATGGTAGAGGTAATTGAAGTTGCCGGGCTCCCAAGTAGACGCAGGCACACGCTACGGTCTCTGGCTCGTATCTTATGAACACGTCAGAGCGTAGGGAGTCGTTCATGTAGTTCCAACACTGTTGCATGAGTGCTTTGTTCTTTTCATATCCAAGCACTTGAAGATACATCACGATGATCTTATGGGGATGCTTAACATGTACACAGAAACCCAATTCCTTGAGTACCCGTCTCTCGGATTTGATCACTTGATTCTTGAGAGCTACATAATTCTGGTCAAGTATCACTGGCGTTATTGCTCTGGAAAAAAGAGAAAACACAAAGAGATCAGAGCTGAGTTTAAAGCATCGATGACTTTACAAAGTGAGTTTGGCATGGCACTCCTGGATTCGAGTAGAAGTCTAGTATTATCCATTTGGTACAAAACCTTGAAAAAATATCATGTAACATGATTAGAATAGAATTTAATCATAATATATACAGATTAAGCTTGATATAGCATACAACCTATATATCTATAGGCCCTTTACAGCAGCAATAATATGTAAAGGAAGCGACGCGTTATTTATCTTACTAAATAGGCCTAAATAAAATCATTTCGTCATTGCATTGATTGTACCATTCGTATGCTTGGATATTTCTAGTAGCAATTTTTAATTCATTAAATAAGCCAAATAATACACTTATTTGGATTATGAAACCAATTGATAATTTTCTACTTGGCAAGTCACTGGTTCCAATGACTCGTAAATTATTTGTCACAATTATTACAAACGGTAACAAAAAAATACATATTCGTTTGATAAAAGATTGACACCACAGTTTTTTCTTTTCTCTTTTTTTTCTCTCTCCCTCTCTCTTAATACCTGTTTGACACTAATATACATTTTTAAGTAGAAAATTTATAAATACTCATGGATTTAGTAAATAAAATTCATACAATCATGATTATAATGAGGAAACTATACAATATTTACAGTATACAAGCGAACGGTCTAAACCTGCTAAAACAAACTGTTTATTATAACAGGGAGCAATTCGTTACGCATGATTAAAAAAAATAAAAATAAATAATATATATATATACATATATATATAAATTTTCTATCGTATATAGATATGTTAGTGCCTAAACCTTGCATATTATATATTATAACAATCTTAATCAAGGTATAAAACATCGCGAGTTTTATACAGACAAAGCAATCTGTACTCATAATCCTTTCAATCTCGTAGGTGCCAGTCGTGCTTTGGAGCCTTCGACTACAATCAAGCGAGATGATCTTGAGTGGCTTGAGCTGCTTTTGTTGCTTACATGTTTATATGCTCTGAACAATCCAGAGCGCCTATGCGGAACTCACCCTGTTGAAAATCATTAAAATATTTATATCTTTTCTTAAAAGATTCTAAGAAGGCCTAATGCAACTTTACAGATTAAAAAATTTTGTTCACAAGCAATTTATAATATATAATACATACTATTATATATTACAATAACTACTTGCGCTAATGTTTACTTTGTTATTTCTTTTTCTTTTCTTTTTGTTTTTGTTTTTATATATATTAAAATAATCAAAATTTATTAGAATAAATTTTAGACTTTTTTCTCTCTCTTTCGCTTTCTCTCTCTCTCTCTCTCTCACTCTCTCTCTCTCTCTCTCTCTTTAATAATATACAAGTACAAATACTCACTTTTGATTACCAACTTGTTTTATATGGTTGAAGACATTAATGACATCACGAATGTGTCTGGGTGCTTCTTCAATTTTACTAGCAAGGCAAACACATGCCATTGCCGTTGTTTCCATATTATGCCTAACTAATGATTTGCTATAATAAAATCGTTGAAATATTACTTGGCCAGTTGCCATTGCGACCTGCAGACAATAACGGACAATATTGATAACGTATAAAATGAGCTTGTGAATATTGGCGTGAACGAAAAATCTGTTCATTAATCGTCTAAACTGCTATTTGCAGGTTAGGAACGTGTTCCTCACAACGGACATTAAAAATCTCATATTTCGACATACCTGAGGTAACCTAAGAAGGATCCCAGCAGTTTGTATCAATTCGCATCCTAATATTCTGAGATCTGTTTCCGTTTCAGCATCAAGGCCGTCTATACTGGACGGCGTCGAATTCAACTTTTCATCTGGTAAGAGGCAATTTTGTAGCGTCAGTAGGATTTTGCCGTAGGGCTTAAGATGAGTAGGCGCGGCAACCTTTGGAGCATTCGTTGTTGAATTTTCTTTGGTACCCATTTTCACGACTCTTTCTATTCAATATGCTTATAAAAATCACACTTTTATGGATACTTTGATCACTCTAAGATATCTTAACGTTCCGTGCGTGCCCTCTCACTTTTGTGTACTCTCAAGCCACGCCATGACGGCCTCTGGCATCATGCATGACATGATGGCAGTGAATAAATTCTGAAAAAGTTGGACGACAACAGCGCTCGTTGTTCCGTGCTGGATACGCAAGAATAAATATGGATTCCCGCTCATGCGCCCTTGCTATTTTGTGGGGTGGTGGGGACGTCGGCGGTTGAGGGGGAAGAAAAAAAAAATTTTTTTTTTTCTCTTCTTCTATTTTACAATGAAATATGTATTTTTATTGCGGGAGCGCGAGATTGATTTGACGAACGAATCAATGGATATTGAGCAAATGTTTTTCTTAGCGCTAACGAGCTCGCCGGCTAATTCTACTCCATTCATTCGTTAATAAAAATCCTTTTTTTTTTGTTTCTCTTATTTTTGTTTTTGTTTTGAAATATAATATAATAATACCCTTTCCCCTTATTGACAATTTTATATTAAAGACTTAACGTTGTTTGGAGATGAATTTTCGTTTGAATAGTCCTTTAAACATCGTGTCTTGCTAGTCTCTACGGCTCGATACTTCAAAAAAGAAAAAAAATAATCAATTTATTAAACTTTAGGTGCACGCGGACAGTTAATTCTTAATTTGCACAAGTAAAACATTCAAGATCATCGGTGGAATAAACGCATTACGCAGTCGCAAAAATTGTTTTAAGCTTAACGCGCGCGCGCGCGTGTATGCATATATAGCGAATGGGTCGCTTTCAAATTTCGATTTTATTTGTAGCAACAAGTCGCGTTAGATAAAGAGAGTCAGGTTAGAAAAGGTACTGGATCCTATTAAAGCAGGGTAGGTAACAAAATGACAACAAGTATTATCTTTGTTACTTTATTAAAATTACCGGATAAATTAAAAAAGCCAGTGGTACAGATACAGATATGCAGTCAATTCAAGCACGTTAAGATAATAATATCATTCGTCGAGCTCTTGGAAGATAGCATGTTTACATAAATTATGCGACGAATGTTAATGCGTTGAAAATTTTTGGATTTCGCGCTCGAATGATATAAACACTATGAGTCGTGTTTCGTAGATTTGTACGTATTCCGCGACTCTTTTTATTTGTTCTCTTTTGATCTCTTTATTACTCTCTCTTTCATTTATGCGCGCATACACTTCTCTAGTTATTTACATTTCTAAGCTTGTACCTTTCCATGGGATTATTTCGTCATTCATTGTTCGCGTAGTTAGAATTCGTTGTAATAAAGTGAGTACATTTTCACAAGGCAAATAATAACCACACATAAGATTATAAAAAGATAGAGATAGATAGATATATAGATAGATAGATAGATAGATAGATAGATTAATGATAGATAGATAAATGATAGAGAGAGAGAGAGAGAGAGAGAGAGAGAGAGAGAGAGAGAGAGAGTGGCAGCTATGTAGAGCCAATATAGTCATCAGTTGTGTACTATGTTAACGGTAAAGTGATGCATCGTCTATTTTCGGAATTGTCCTGACACTTTTGTCGTGGGAACAGCGAATCGTTGCTGTGGTGTCTAGGAAAAATGTCAGATTATCAGCAACAGCTACAACAACAAGGTTGTAAGAGCAATATAGTCGATGGACCAATTTCTTGTGGAGAACAAGATGACGACGAGCAGTCGATCATCGACGTATTTGAGTTCGACGACACTGCTCACGACAGATGGTATGGTCATGCGAATATTATTGCGGTATTTTCATCTTCTCTGTATTATTTCATTCGTCGTGATTTATAATTATTTTCAAAGCAATCGAACGAAAAAATAATATAATCCAATGGTACTTATTCATTTTGTTTTTATTTTATTCGTAACTTTAATCATTTTAGTTGAACATCATTTTGTTGGAATATTAATGCAATTACTAATCGTTCATATTTCCTGTTCATAATTTTGATTTTGTGTATGTCTACTTATTGTGATTTACTTTTTACATCCATGTTACGTTTGGTTATATAGCATTAATATTGTAATTATTTTGTTAATAATGACTATTAGGCTTTGTTCAGCTGGAACTGGATCTAGGAGAAATAGTAATGAATGTAAGATTCAAGATCTAGATGCTTGGCTTCACGCCGATATATTGGAATCAGAAACTGCCTATTCTGATAATGGTACATTTATTTCTGTTTATTACCTATCCTATTAACTCTATGGTATTTGTTCTAATGGATAATTTCTATGAAGCTTTAAGGAAATCCATAGATTCAAGAACCTTTACGAGAATCAAAAGGCGATCGAATAAGTTAAATTTTGAATCGGTCGAATCAATATCACTGGAAACAATGTCGATTCCTACGTCAAATGTATGGAAAAATCAAACGATTACAGAATCTATATCCGAAGTAAGTTTTAAAGTTAGGTCACTATCGTCATCATTTACAGTTAATGGCAATTTTTGAGTAAACCTAATGGAATAACATTTTGAAGGAACAGAGCACGCAGAAGGAAAGAAGAGATAGTATACCAATGATGTTACGACCAAAAACAAATCAAGTTCTCGCTGCCCTTTTATCAGAAAGTCCCTCGTCAATAAATAGTCAAACGAGTATGGAGGCTTTCGTGAATATGACTCGATCCAAAGAGGGAATCAATTCAATACTCAGCGATATGAGCGAATCCGATGTCAATCATTTTTTAATGAATATATCACAACCGTCGCTTTTGTATTCGTCGATAATATCCGATGGTAAAGGCGAAGAAAGTATGCATGCCGCAGTACACGACAGCTTTGTCGATTCGCAAATTTTAACCGATTCTATGATGGAGGCAAGTATGTTCAAAGAAGTGCAGGACACTACGATGCTTGCTGAATTTTTAAAACAAAGTAACGACTCCACTATTCTCGAAGATACAACCATTCGTAAAAGTCTCAATGAAAGCGATATAGACGATGCAACATTTGACAATAATTATTTAAACGATAAGATACATGCTAATGTAAAGTCGAAAATAAATGAGACGTTTATAAATTTGCCTTCACCGGTGGCGAGTAACAGTGAAATAAATAGTACAAAAATTATATCGTCGCAGGAAAATTTATTGCATTCGTCGAGAGTCGATACTAATATTTATAGTCCACTGAATTCTACAAAGACTATTTCCTCCGACAATGATACGACAGTATTGTTACAAGATACAAATGATTTATCAAAAACATGTATAATAAGTAAGGAAAATAAGACTGATTTAATTTACGAATCAAAGTCAGAGTCATTATCTTCGAGCGAAGAAAAATTAAATGCTACATTTAAAAAATCCAATATTTCTACGCCCTTAATTTCCCAAGTGAATATTACCTTAAATTTCTTAATCATAATTTCATTTATAATCGAATGTATATTACCGTAGTTATTTTATTAAAACTTCTTTTTACAGGAATTAGTTAAAAACATTGATAATAAATTTGATAAGTTTCATGCCGTTCCAACATTACGAGCGGCGCTATTACAAGAAGTTCAAAGAAGCAGTGGAAATAAATTTGATACTACTCTTGATGGTGCCCGGTTGCCTGGTATTGAATCCAATTTCGATGTTACTTACGACTGTTTGAATACAAACGAATCATTTGTCGAAGCTGAAGTTCTCGATGCAACTTATATACAGGTACAATCTCCACATAAACTTGAATCTCAAAGCGAGACAAAGAGTGTTGAAATAAACTCCGACTCTGCGCAAGTCAATACTCAATCGAGCAATGCAATTGGTTCGCGACAAATGAGGTTTGTAAATGAACACTTTTTAGGTAATCATCATCACCCTATCATATAAACGCACTATTCACAAAAATTAATTGTATTTTTACAGTTATGTTAAAAAAAGTGTGGGAGAATCACAGATGCATTCTTTGGATCAGAATCGTTTCAATACATTTAGAAAAGATAGTAAGATCGGCAGCTGTTTCTCTAAGCTCCCTCAAGAAGATCATTCAAATAAAATGCCAATATCTGCACCGTTGCAGCATCATATACCAAAAAATAACGACACTTTATATCAACAAAGATTCCATACGTTTTCGAAAAAAACGAGTAGCATGAGAAGTAAAGTTTGTGTCGAAAATAATGTAAACGAGATGCAATCGGATGACAAATTTACAAAGCCACTCGATAAAATATCTAGGCAAATACAAGCACCACGTCAATTATCGAAGCTTCCGCAACTCTTTCAGAAATCAAATCCTAATCTCGGCGCCAGCTTTAAGTCAATTGGGAAACTAACGATGGAAACTGAAAACGATGTTGAATTTGTCAAGGGATCGCAACCAAATATTTCTAGTAATATGTGTTCGTTAGGTAGATTTAAATCAGAACGCATTTTACAAACGAAGAATAACACGGACTTTTCAATGGCTGACAGCACTAGTCGTTCGATGGAAAGCATTGAAAGTACAGCAAGTGCGCATAGCGCTCCAGATATCGAGGATAGGCTTAGCATAAGTTCGGAAAGTAGTCGGGCATCGTATACGATAAAGTCGAAAGATTTTGTCGAACACAATGCGGAAGGACAAGGTAAAACGATGAAAGCGAGTTAATGAAATTAAAAATTTCCTTCTCTTCATAAATTTTTAAGCATTCACCTTAACCGCATAATTATTTAGATGGAAAGTACAGTGGGCTTGTCTCGAAACCTAAGGGACATAATATTCTTGAGGGTACTTGGATACAAGAAAAGGATTTACCATCGCCGATTCTGAAAAATCATATAAAAAGATGTTATGTCGATAGTGGTGATAGTAATAGCACGTCTCCGACGGACAGTGCAGAATTTAATGCAAAAACAAGTTCACCGTTAACGATAAGCCCAACTAGTTCAGATCAAGCAATAGACAGAATTGGTTAGTAATTCTTCATACGTTTCTTATGTTTATTATATAATTTTAATCTTGAAAAATGTTTTTATACTCGTGTATATATAAATTTGGAAATTTAATATGTAGAATCTGATGACGTTGGCATCGAGGTTGCCAAAGAGAATATTCAGGCAACGGTTAATGTTAAACCAACTCAAATTAAAGTAAGTTTAAAAATTTTTTATATAATTCATGCGCACAACAAAATCTTCATTCTATGAAAGAAATTTCAGATAAAATTTTATTTAGTCTTGCTTTATTATTATTGATTTATTTATGTTATAATTATATTTAGCATTTTAGCTAAATAATGTTTATGTAATTCAACTGTGAATATTAAATTTACATTCATATTAAGAAGGCAAGGTTAAATAAAGTAAATATTTTTCCAATTTCTCAATTTAATTAAAAAGTCATATTTACAATTTACAACATTATGCGTATTCAAATTTCATCGACGCATTTTTAAAATCAAAATACGAAGCAAATTTGTCCAATTGCGCTCAATTATTCAATTGTATTACTTTATTTAGATATGTAATTCAGCATCAAATATGACCAATGCAAGAAAATTAAGACTACCAACCAATTGGACTGGTGCACCAAATAAAATCGCCAATAGTGCTATAAGTGGAATTCCAAGACCAGCCTCGCGAATTCCAGGCCCGAAGTTCGTGAGACCAAATTTAAAATAATCCGGTTAGGTATAAAACGCGAAAGATAAATTACGATTACGATGATCAAGAAGTTAAAATTGATCGGATTATTCATTGTAATTAAGTAAAAAATTACAATCAAATAACTATTTTTCTAATCGAGTTATTGTAAATAAATGAAGATATTGCGTTAGTAATTAAAATTTTGTATTCCAAGACAGCTTTTAAGAATTACATGATCATCGAGTAACGTGATATTTTGTATCTATTTTTTAAAATGTTAATTATTTTGCCATTTTTTATTCAAAGAGTGTATTTTCTTTTCTTTTTACGAAGAAACAGACTGCCATTTAATATTTTGGTAATGATATTCTCGTAATAATAAAAAAAAAAAAAAAAAAAAAAAAACGCAAAAAAAAACGCAAAAAAAAAAAAATAAAATAAAAAAATAAAAAAAAAAAATAATAATAATAATAATAATAGAACACGAATGCAATAGCTTGATATACACAGTAATACGTATGATATTTATATTAACCAAAAATTGTTGATAATATCTGCAGTATATTTCCTATAGGATTACATAAATCGTACACAGATGCTGATGTTTTAATTTTTAGAATTTAGAATTATATTTCTAAAATTTCATTCGGCCTGTGAATTTCTGTACTCGCTTATTTATAATAGAAATAAATTTAATTTGTTTGAATTTTTCTTATGTTAAATAAGCTTTACATAAGACATTTAGTACAGTTTAGGTGTAGATCAATAAATCTTTTTGACACCTGAAACTACTATTTTTACATTTAATATATAAATTAGTTGAAGTATCTTGAAATGGAAATGTTGACTGAAAAGGGAAAAAAATATAAAATGAATAATTTAAACACATTAGATATTTTCCATAATTCATTTATAACAAATATTATATTCCTTATGGAAGATTAAATAGAATAATTATATAATTAATAGTTTAATTAATCAAATTAAAATCACGTTCAATTAGTTTTATTTGTAGAAAATTATTATATTTGAAATTTATTTATTTATTTAATAGCTATTATCGCATAAATTAAAAGTTGAACTCAAAGAAATATTATTTTAATGTTAATAACGAAGAACAATAATTTAGAACAAATATTGAAAAGATGTGATAGCGTTTATGCAGCCGCATAAGTTATATTTCTTTCCACGAATATTACTTAGCTCAAATGAATCACACGTTGATAATATTAGTATATTTATGTAGTAAAATTGTTTATATCAAATAATTGTATATAGATTTCTAATATTTTTCAGTACAATTGTTAATTACTACATAATTCTATGAATGTAAGTAAGTGCCTTGAGAATGTCTGTGGCTCGTGAAAAAAAAAAATGGTGTGTTCAAATTATAAAAAGTGAAATCTGTTATTCATGCCATTATTCAGCTTTAAAGAATGTATCTCTCTCTCTCTCTCTTTTTTTTTTATGACAGAAACATCGTCGTTTTGTAAGTAAAGAATAAAATAAAAACGCTTGTAGTATTGTAATTTGTATTGCTTTAAAATAATTTGTTTTAAAAATTGTATATGAATGGAAATTAAATTTGTAATTCAAATTCATATATGGTTGTGTCTTTAATTCAACGCCACACTATATCCTAAAAAATTGTAGACATAGAATTTTGGTTTAAGAATAACAATGTAATAGTTATGAAAAAAGTTTATTTCATCAAGAACACAGTACTTACTGCTCTTTTCATATTGTTAATTTATATAACATATGGAAAAAATGTAGGGTAAAACAATTGCCATAAATGTTTATGTCATTATAACTTTCAGTTATCGACTAGACACACTGTATGCTATACAATTTTATATAAATTTTTGCAAATTATTGGTATCGAGTGCATTGAAGAAAATCTACGCAATTATTTTGTTTATGATTTTATTATAAATAATATACGTAACATTTTTCATCTCGAAACTATTATAAAGTAATGCTATTCGTTTATTTTAAATCGAGTCTAACATTTCATTCGAATACATATTAAAATAAGCAAATGCAATGTTATCATCGTGTAAGTACGAGTGGAATGTTTCCCATTAATAACGTACTTACCGAGTACACCACTTTAAATATTATTATATAACAATGCGTTGTGCTCTTCTCAAATCTTTTTTCACATTTCTAACATTATCCTACTAAAATTATCGCGCGGATGTAAATTGCCGCCTCTCGCATGATACAATGTACAATGTCGCTTCTAAAATTAATGAAATATATTGATTACTTTTCAGAAGAGCTTTTAATATATGAAAAATGTTTTGTTATCTCGTCTTACAAATAATACTGTACTGTGACCGTGTCACGCTGGCGTAATCAAAACGCACGTATTAGTATATTATGTATCGCTTTATTCTTTGCTCTTCCGGTTAAGCACAATTATTCTTCTTCGCGAGTATAGACGAGTTGCTCATTTGACATAATTAAAAATTGACCAGTAGGTTTAACAATATAAAGTTTGATCGTAACTGATCGATCGATACGACATCACTGCTTTGCCCCAACTGCACCAAATTAATTAAACTTCTGTTTAATCTACGACATCACATAGAATTGCATAATTTTCATGGCTTTCCTATAAATATAAATTACGTATTTCAACTAGTGAAATAATGTAAGAAATCCGTAAATTCGAATGGTTATCGTTAGGGCATGGCGTAGTAGTAAACGATTTTTCAAATATTAAATTCACTACTTATTCGCGAAACTTTCACTTTTCTCTCTCTTATTTTTCTCGACATCATAGTTAATGAGATCAACGAACTATGAACATTTAGTGTAGTTATTTGCGCTGAAAAACGATATAAAATTATCGATACAGAATTATTACGGGATTTATTTGACAGGCATAAGTAATTATTTTCACTATCCAAATTTTTCTGATGATAAAAATATATATATATATATATATATATATATATATATATATATATAATTTACTTTTCTAGGATGGTAAAACGAATATCGTGTGTACGACAATAATAATCGTTGTTTAAATAATGGCCGATCTTTCATTGCGTTTTTATTTAGCCCCATCGTGACACATGGCTAAACGCGATACGCTGACTATAATTTAATACATCGTGATGAAATCGTCGTTTCATTGTTTTCTTTTCTTTTTTCGACGAGCTTGACAATAATACGACATTAATACAATCTGCAAATACAAAACTTTAAAAGTTAAGTAAATCGATTAAGTATGATTGTCCGTCGTCCGTCGTGTGTCGCGCGTCGCGTGCTCGGTGGCCTCAATTGCTGTCTCCTTTCTTATATCTATTTAATGAGTATTATTCGCATGCCAGTTTGCTGTCAAAACTGCTGAGTGCTATAGCAAATGCTTGTAGCGCGCACAAAGGAAATCGATAATCCATTGTGAAAACGTCTTCGGCCACGCGACCAAACTGCATCACAACGTAGTCCACTGGAAGGAAAGGCAATTTTTATGGAAATATATATTAGTTATACTTTCTTTTTTTTTTTTTTTTTTTTTTTTTTTTATCGTTTATCGTTAATATCGTAATGTAAGGCTTATTTATTTTACCATCGGTGTCGTGAACAACTTGAAAATTCTTTACAGAGGCCTGGGTAACGCGTCCATGAAAATTGAGGACGTACGATTGAGTATCATCGTTCCACACTGGCGTTTTGTTATGCAACTCTATCAGATTATCCATATTTTTCATTTTGTAACAGTCTAAACAAATAGCAGCGATTTAGGCCAATAGACAAATTCAGTTTTTCAAATTAATTATTAGAAGGAAATTATTTTTGATGTTCTATTATTACCTAATAGCGTTTCAGTTTCATCTCGTGGGCATATCTCGACTCTCTTTTGATCGGGAGTCATACCAGGTATGATGACCGTCATTTTACGTGGCCCTTTAAATCCCAAAACATTTGTATCGTATATTACAGCAGCTAATTCTTGTCTGGGATTTGGTCGACGTTCTTCTCGTTTGTCATCTTTCAATTGAGAGTAGCCATTATCGTATATGGTGAATTGAGTTCCAAGAAGGTTTGATCTTAATTTTCCAACGTAGGCTTCGCCACCTCTAGATAAGTCAGTTGGATCGGTGGAAATTAGATAATTACTGGTTTTGCTTCGTTTTCTTTTACGCCCGGCAAGGAGAAATACCTTTCGAACACATTACCAATTTCAAATACTAATGCAAAATTGAAATTTAGGTGGATAATTTTGTCGATACACAGCCATACCTTTTTACCATAGTCTCGCTCTAAATGAAGAAAATATGTTGGGTAAAATCCACGATCCATTCCTTTTCTGTCTCTTGTTATTCGACATTTATAATGCATCTTTTTATTAGCCGGCTGCAAGACAAATTGTTCAATGTTTCCTTCCACATTACCTTCTAGTTCTGGACTCTATCGATACAAACATAATTTCACTTAGAAATTCATCATTATTGAGCGTATAAACTTTAGCGTGTGTGTATTTTACCGAAGAATGGTTGTCTCGATTAATAACTGACGTGGATCCATCGGACGGTGCTACTCTGAGGGGAGACGCACAGGCAAGTGTCTCCGTTGGTGATTGAAATTCCACCGGGGACGACTCTTCGTCCGCTCCATCGTAAAAAATGCCATCCGTGCTAATATCTAAGGCAAGATAACACAGAGACGTTAAGAAATTTAGACTCCGTGAAACGGGTGTCTTAAGACCTACCCGTAGTTATGTCAGTCTCCATAGTTCTATTTTCAGCCAGTGTAGTGGTGTCCGGATTACCCGGAATCATAGTGTACTGTAACGGCCCGTCGTAACCTGTAACGACAGAAACGGATAAACGTTTTTACTGGTTTGTTTACTGGAATTGTCACCGACAACTTAAGACGATAAAGCCATTGTACCGTGCAGCTCGTTTTGCCAGACTGTGGAACGACCGGTGAACTGAGCAGATGCATTCGATGCTTGTATCATTCCACTAGCACCGGTTTGCCTCTTCTGCCTCATTTTTTGGGCAATCAACTGCCTCTGAAAGAAAAATATCCGCTAACAATTGATTTCCTCCATGCATTCTCACTTAATTGCATTATGAATTAACGCACGCTACATCTACAATTTGCACGAATTAATCAAAAATTTGAAAATTACAACACGTTCGTGTCAATTTCCAATCAATGTGAATCCTTAATTTGCCGACTAAACACTACTTACCATGGCATTATCGAGTGCTCGATATTACCAAACTAAATCATTAGTTTTGTCAGAGCGCGTGGCACCGATGCGCAAACCATACCAAAGCACACGACTAAAGAATAATCGACTGCTCGAAAGGTTATAAGATCGACGAGCGATAGAGTTGTTAGGTCGCGTGCGGCCAACCGACTACGCAAGTACACGCAACGCGACACATTCCCCACCTCCCAGCAGCACGTCCCATTACCTGTTGCTCGAGCTTCTGCTGCCTTAAATCCAGCGAGGTCATCCTTGAAATTATGTTCCAAAAGCTTGATTAATAACGGGCTGATAATCCGGACCGGTGCTCGCTCGGGACGTCGATCCTCCACGTTCTCCTGGCTCAACCACTTTGTTTACGCTTTACGTCAAGTACGCGCACTACGCTACGCTACGCTAGTTTACTACGGCATATCGTTGGCCCCGTGGGTTGGTTGCGCGCGC